CCTGTCTCACCTCACCCTGTCTCACCTCACACTTCTCACCTGTCTCACCTCACCCTGTCTTACCTCACCCTGTCTCACCTCACTGTGTCTCACCCTGTCTCACCTCACCCTGTCTCACCTCACTGTGTCTCACCCTGTCTCACCTCACCCTTTCTCACACCTCACCCTGTCTCACCTCCCCCTGTCTCACCTCACCCTGTCTTACCTCACCCTTTCTCACCCTGTCTCACCCTGTCTCTACCTCACCCTGTCTCACCTCACTGTGTCTCACCCTGTCTCACCTCACCTTTCTCACACCTCACCCTGTCTCACCTCCCCCTGTCTCACCTCACCCTGTCTCACCTCACACTTTCTCACCCTGTCTCACCTCACTATGTCTCACCCTGTCTCACCTCACTGTGTCTCACCCTCTCACCTGTCTCACGCCTCTCACCTGTCTCACCCCTCTCACCTGTCTCACGCCTCTCACCCTCTCACCATGTCTCACCCCTCTCACTGTCTCACCCCTCTCACCATGTCTCACCCCTCTCACCTGTCTCACCCCTCTCACCTGTCTCACCCTCTCACCTGTCTCACCCCTCTCACCTGTCTCACCCCTTTCACCTGTCTCACCTGTCTCACCCCTTTCACCTGTCTCACCCCTCTCACCTGTCTACATGCTAACAGTTTTCTTCTCCTGCTCGTCCTCAGGTCTCTGGGCAGGATGGAGGACGTGGCGGTACGTAGAATAAAACTTTAATCAGGCTTATTAGAAGAAGAATCGTGTTGTTGTTGTTGTTGTTGTTGTTGTTGTTGTTGTTGTTGTTGTTGTTGAGTTGCTGTAACATCTTGAATTCTTCCAGCCGGTGAACATAAAGATTATTTGAAGTATCAGACTCATGGGAAGCTTACGTCGTTTCCTGTCTGTTTCTATGGCAACAGCTTCTGCAGTATAAAGAGCACCTGAGCATCTCTGATGAAAACAAGAGGCGGGACTTCCTGAAGAGCTGCCTCAGGTGAGTGAGCCTGCAGGCCACCGTACTGTACTGAACTAGACTACTTTATTTAAACAATAGAAACAAAGTCCTCATCAGACACTTCATGTGATGACCTGATGATGTCAGCAGTGACATCACTGTAACATGTGTTTGTTTGTGTCCAGTCTCCCGTTCTCTGCAGAGGACTCGGCTCACGTTCAGGATCACTACACCCTGCTGGAGAGACAGATCATCATCGAGGTCAGAGACAAAACAAAACCTAACCCCAACTCAGACCAGCTCTGAAGGCTCTGTGTGTGTTAAAGGAAGAACGTGCGACTTTTAGATCCAGTAGATGGCGCCCTTTAGCACCAGCATGAAACCAAAACAAACTTCTGATTGGCCACACCTCCAACGCCCCTACACTCAAACCAAGTTGCAGACAAAATCGTTCTTTGCTCGAGATGCAATCACCTGTGTCCTTCATTGTTGTGTTAGCATGCTAATGTTAGCGCTCTTTAGTTAGCTCGTAGCTTCACATTGTTGTGTTAGCATGCTAATGTTAGCGCTCTTTAGTTAGCTCGTAGCTTCACATTGTTGTGTTAGCATGCTAATGTTAGCACTCTTTAGTTAGCTCGTAGCTTCACATTGTTGTGTTAGCGTGCTAATGTTAGCGCTCTTTAGTTAGCTCGTAGCTTCACATTGTTGTGTTAGCGTGCTAATGTTAGCGCTCTTTAGATAGCTCGTAGCTTTACATTGTTGTGTTAGCGTGCTAATGTTAGCGCTCTTTAGATAGCTCGTAGCTTCACATTGTTGTGTTAGCGTGCTAATGTTAGCGCTCTTTAGTCAGCTCGTAGCTTCACATTGTTGTGTTAGCATGCTAATGTTAGCGCTCTTTAGATAGCTCGTAGCTTTACATTGTTGTGTTAGCATGCTAATGTTAGCGCTCTTTAGTTAGCTCGTAGCTTCACATTGTTGTGTTAGCATGCTAATGTTAGCGCTCTTTAGTCAGCTCGTAGCTTCACGTTGTTGTGTTAGCATGCTAATGTTAGCGCTCTTTAGTTAGCTCGTAGCTTCACGTTGTTGTGTTAGCGTGCTAATGTTAGCGCTCTTTAGTTAGCTCGTAGCTTCACATTGTTGTGTTAGCGTGCTAATGTTAGCGCTCTTTAGATAGCTCGTAGCGTTACATTGTTGTGTTAGCGTGCTAATGTTAGCGCTCTTTAGATAGCTCGTAGCGTTACATTGTTGTGTTAGCATGCTAATGTTAGCGCTCTTTAGATAGCTCGTAGCTTTACATTGTTGTGTTAGCATGCTAATGTTAACGCTCTTTAGTTAGCTCGTAGCTTCACATTGTTGTGTTAGCATGCTAATGTTAACGCTCTTTAGTTAGCTCATAGCTTCACATTGTTGTGTTAGCATGCTAATGTTAGCGCTCTTTAGTTAGCTCGTAGCTTCACATTGTTGTGTTAGCATGCTAATGTTAGCGCTCTTCAGTTAGCTCGTAGCTTCACATTGTTGTGTTAGCATGCTAATGTTAGCGCTCTTTAGTTAGCTCGTAGCTTCACATTGTTGTGTTAGCATGCTAATGTTAGCGCTCTTTAGTTAGCTCGTAGCTTCACATTGTTGTGTTAGCATGCTAATGTTAGCGCTCTTTAGTTAGCTCGTAGCTTCACATTGTTGTGTTAGCATGCTAATGTTAGCGCTCTTTAGTTAGCTCGTAGCTTCACATTGTTGTGTTAGCATGCTAATGTTAGCGCTCTTTAGTCAGCTCGTAGCTTCACATTGTTGTGTTAGCATGCTAATGTTAGCGCTCTTTAGTTAGCTCGTAGCTTCACATTGTTGTGTTAGCATGCTAATGTTAGCGCTCTTTAGTTAGCTCGTAGCTTCACATTTCATGTAAACTGACACAGAATGAGCGTGATCTAAAACTCTTACTAACATCCAAATAATCAGTGAGTATGTTCTTCTTCTTCTCTCTAGTTCTTGACTAAAACAGCTTTTATACACAAGGGGAGGAGCCGGCCGTCCCGTCCATGTAAACACGGCTCTGACAACAACACAGCCAGCGGGACTCGAGCTTCTCCTTCATTGTAGACAGTCAGGACTCAGAGACACATTTACACAGGACAGACTTTAGGATTTATTTATGTGTACTGCACATTCTTCCTCTAATCTCAAACACGCTCTGAGTTCTGAAGTCTCTCTAACTCTTTTAGTTTCCTTTAACAGAAGGGTCTGTAAGTGAAAGTAAAGATTTGATTATTAACGACTCTGGGGATGGGTTATGGATACGACTCTGCGATTCAGTGTCTCAGTTCACTCCAGTTAAAACCCAGTTCATTCCTGTTGTGTTGCTAGGCAACTGACCGGCAGGCCGAGCGAGGAGGGAAGGTGGAAATCTTCCAGAAGTTTCCCAGAAGAGCTTCAATCCTCAACATGCCGTTAGTCACAACTCTGTACTACTGCTGCTTCTACCACTACACCGAGCCCGAGGTCAGTCTCACGTTAACTAAACCTGTATGAGATCAGGTTAACCAGATAATCTGAACCAGATAAATTGATCCAGATAAATTGATCCAGATTAATTGATCCAGTTTAGTTGATCCAGAATAGTTGATCCAGATAAATTGATCAAGATAAATTGATCCAGATTAGTTGATCCAGATAAATTGATCCAGATTAGTTGATCCAGATAAATTGATTCAGATTAGTTGATTCTGCTTGTCTTCTGTTCTCAGGGAATGTACAGCAGTCCGTTGAACATCCGTCAGACCTTTAAGGTGAGACTTGTTCAGGTGTTGTTTACGTGTATAAACACTCAAAGGCTGACCTATGAACGACTACCAAACACCTGTTGACCTTTGACCTCAGATTCCAGAGAAGCAGTACTTTGTGACGGCGTTGTCGGCGCGAGCGAAGCTGAAAGCGTGGTCGGATGTGGACGCTCTGTTCACGAGCAGGAACTGGCTCGGCTTCACCCGGAAGAAATCACCGCTCAACTTCCAACGAGTCGTTGACATCCTGCAGAAGAACTCCGCCCCCACACAGGTGAGGAGGCGGGGCTAACAGTACCACCAATGATCAAGGTGTTTGATTGACAGGAGGAAGTAGAGATGTAAAGATGCGGGAAGGGAAGTAATCTGACACAAGAGGGTTTTATTTGATTGACAGGTGAATGATTGACAGGTGTATATTTAATGATTGACAAATGAATGATTGACAGGTGAATGACTGACAGGTGTATAATTGACAGGTGAATGATTGACAGGTGAATGATTGACAGGTGTATGATTGACAGGTGAATGATTGACAGGTGTATTTTTATTGATTGACAGGTGAATGATTGACAGGTGTATTTTTATTGATTGACAGGTGAATGATTGACAGGTGTATGATTGACAGGTGAATGATTGACAGGTGAATGATTGACAGGTGTATGATTGACAGGTGAATGATTGACAGGTGAATGATTGACAGGTGAATGATTGACAGGTGTATTTTTAATGATTGACAGGTGCTGAAGGACTACGTGGCGTTGGTTGATGATGCGGACGTCAGGATCGGTTTGGCTCAGAAATATAAATGTCACGACATCGTCATCAACGTGAGGCACATACCTGTGTTCACATTAATAAAGCTCTCTGATTGGACGATCAATTATAAGCCCTCAATACACCTGCTCGTGTTAATGATGTCATGTTTCTATGGGCCAATCAGACGTACCGAGACCTGAAGGACCGACAGCTGTTGCTAGGATACCGGGGAAAGGTTGAGAGAGGGTCGGTGGAGGAGAGGAAGATTGACGAGCTGCTCAGCAACCTGGTGAGGAAGAGGATGATGACATCACCATCATCATCATCATGTGACCTCACTGAATGTTTCTTCTTCTCTTTCAGCAAATGAGGTGGAAGAACTGACTGTCACACAGGAAGGACATTAGGGACGTCCAATCAGCTTTCAGCCTGGGGGAGTGCTCACTGAGCTGCCGCCCCCAAAATGCAGAGTGGGCGGGGCTTATTGTTCTCGAGTCATTGATGACTCATCAGAAAGACATTCCTGAAAAATGTTTTGTAAATATGAATGTAAATAAATATTATCAACAAATGTGAAATGATAACGAGTTATTGATTAAGGAAAGGAGTTAAGGAGAGGAGGTAGATAAGGAAAGGAGGTAGAGAATGAGAGGAGGGGGTAGAGAAGGAGAGGAGGAGGTAGGGAAGGAGAGGAGGAGGTAGAGAAGGAGAGGAGGAGGTAGGGAAGGAGAGGAGGGTCAGAGCGCTTTAAAATGTTTCAATCATGAACACTGATCTTCTTGCTGTTGGTGCGTTCATGAGGTGTCGGAGACATCGGAAAAACAAGTTTCCAAGTTTAAACGCACACGAAGACTGAAGAGACTCAGAAAAGAATAAATACTGGACGTCGGATTCATCATCACCTGGGGGAAGAATCTGTTTAGATGATGTTAACATACTTTTATTAATTCACATATTGCACATCAACTTTTACCTGACACAAAACTTTAATCAGAGATGTAACGTGATCTTCAGAACATTAACCATGTTTTTACTTTTACAACATTCAGACTTTCTGAACACCAAGTCTGAAGAACGATGAAAGTCGGACGACCCAAGCAGCACCTAAACGCAGCATCAGGCACTAACTGACAGTGAACAAGCATTCTGATTGGTGTGTGGTGTCTGAGGAGGGCTCAGAGGTCTGCTGTGCCACCTTGTGGTTTAAATATGCCACTGCAGCTTTATGCTTATTTTATTTATAAATAATTATGACATATAAACGGGGTCTCCCAGGAGCAGACACAAGGTCGTCTGGTGTGTAGTTGGTAGGAAGGAGGAACTATCCAAGTGTTGCGTTTACCTTTCTCCTCTCTCCTCTCTCCTCTCCTTTCTCCTCTCTCCTCTCTCCTCTCCTTTCTCCTCTCTCCTCTCTCCTCCTCCTATCTCCTCTCTCCTCTTTTCTCTCTCCTCTCATCTCCTCTCTCCTCTCTCCTCTCTCCTCTCTCCTCTCTCCTCTCTCCTCCTCCTATCTCCTCTCTCCTCTCTCTTCTCCTCTCACCCCTCTCCTCCTCCTCTCTCCTCTCGCCTCTCTCCTCTCTCCTCTCTACTCAACCTCTCTCCTCTCTCCTCTCTCCTCTCTCCTCTCTACTCAACCTCTCTCCTCTCTCCTCTCTCCTCTCTCCTCTCTCCTCTCTCCTCTCTCCTCCTCCTATCTCCTCTCTCCTCTCGCCTCTCTCCTCTCCTCTCTCTCCTCTCTCCTCTCTACTCAACCTCTCTCCTCTCCTCTCTCTCCTCTCTCCTCTCCTCCTCCTCTCTCCTCTCCTCTCTCCTCTCTCCTCTCCTCTCTCCTCTCTCCTTTCTCCTCCTCCTCTCTCCTCCTCTCTCCTCTCCTCTCTCTCCTCTCTCCTCTCTCCATGTGTGATGCGTTCAGGGTCCTCTCGGTGGTTCCGGTGAACCTGCGGTCGGTGTGTTTTTTTCTTCTTGTTTTTCATGTTTTCAGGATGTGATCAATTGAAGATGGCGGATGAATTATTGATCTCCGGTTGTAGTTTTGTCGTCCACGTGACCCTCCGCAGCTCTACTCTCCTCGTGTCACTTCACGTCGCTTCATTCAGAGTCGGATCGCACGAGGAGACAGACGGAGGATGCGCGAGACGGCGGTGCGTTTCTTTATATTAAACTTAAATGAATAATAATCAGTAATAAATGTTCCTGTAGGAATGATTCAGCTAGCACGTGCTCTGTAGAAATCTTTATTTTCAATAATCGATCAGAAAATATGAAAATATTAACAATTTAAGAATATATCAAATACAGTTTATTCATTATAGAATATAAAACTTTATTCATAAAACCAAAGAAATCAATGTTTAGTATAAAAAGAAGACATAACTTATTTAATATTTACTGTTTGATCGTCAAATCAACAATATTATATTAAATGATATTATATTAAATGAGATTTATTAAATTATATTATTAAATGATATTATTCTAAATTAAATCTCTGCACTAATTAAATTCTGACTGTCACATCTTTATTAGAGAATATCTTTGATATTTACTTCAAACCCTGAGCTCAGCTCATTTATTATAAATATTAAATATATGAAACATCCTACAGACTTTGAAGGAGACTCAGGGTGACGTGAAGGGGTTTTATTTAGAGTTGGTGATTAGAGTGGGTATTTATTTCAGTAAAAGAACGTGAAGTGACACTTTTCACAGAAAAGGAGAGAACTAACTTCCTGTGTTGTCTGTGTTAACTCTGTGTGGGCCGACCTGCTTTAAGGTCTTTGAACGTCTCATCAGTAGTGTCGGGGATCGTTCTTCCATCAGCTGTCTCTGTGACAGTGACAGCTGGGTTCAAACATCGACCCCACTCAGGGTCAGATTGACTAAAGGTTTGAGTTTATTAAAACATGTGTAAACTTCATCCCACCAGCAAACAAAGTGTTAACTGATCTACTAACAATGTGCAGTGAAGATTGAATCTTTCAAATGAGCAAAACAACACACATTGTCCATTTAGTACGTTTGACTTAATGAATATTCAATATGGGTCGTTTCTGTCCTAACGTGTAAAACACTGGGAAGAGAAAATGCAAAGAACTGAAGTTAGTACACACATTGTGATTTACCAAGCAGACAAAAACTTTGGTGATCGTGACGGTGTCTGAATTTAACACCTTTGAAAAGAAGGTGTTAACCCAGGAGACCAGTGTTACACACAACAGGCTGCTGTTATTGAAGTTAGGAGGAGACATAGGCTCAATCAAAGAAGGCATACAGATCACGTTATTCTCCACATGTGTTTACATGTTTCAAATGACAGAAAAATAAATGTCATGCATTTATTTTTTAATTTGATTTAATATTCTAATCGTTAAGGAAGAGGAACACCGTGATTAAACTACAGGCTGTTGTTGCCAAAGAAAACTGAACATCCACAGCCTCTGCATTCTATAGAATTTCAACATTGACGTTTATGTCTTCCTGTTTCCCTCTTTTCACCAACATTATATGTTAAACTGGGATTTCCTTTTTCTCGGGTCGTGCGTCTCTCCTCCAGCTCGCCCCCTGCGGTGCGCTCCTCTCCATAATGCGCTCGTCTCCTCCCTCTAAAGCTGCTGCTACTCTGTAGGAGTATCTATTTATATCCAGTAGAGCAACCTAACTTAAAAAGTTTTCTTAGTAGATCTCCTGCGAAACGCCCACCAACCAAACATGCAAACTTTTGGAGTGAACACACAATTTAGTACTCTTTAATTGTGAGCTTTGTAAATCTGACCCTGATAGTCATGAAGAGAGAGAATATAAGAAGCTGCAGAGAGACAGAGACAGAGACAGAGAGAGACAGAGAGAGAGAGAGAGACAGAGAGAGAGAGAGAGACAGAGAGAGAGACAGAGACAGAGAGACAGAGAGAGAGAGAGAGAGAGAGACAGAGACAGAGAGACAGAGAGAGAGAGAGAGAGAGAGAGAGACAGAGAGAGAGAGAGAGAGAGAGAGAGAGACAGAGAGACAAAGAGAGAGAGACTGAGACAGAGAGACAGAGAGAGAGGGAGAGAGACAGAGAGAGAGAGACAGAGAGACAAAGAGAGAGAGACTGAGAGAGAGACTGAGAGAGAGAGAGAGAGAGAGAGACAGAGAGAGAGAGACAAAGAGAGAGAGACTGAGAGAGAGAGACAGAGAGAGAGGGAGAGACACAGAAAGAGAGAGACAGAGAGACAAAGAGAGAGAGACTGAGAGAGAGAGAGAGAGAGAGACAGAGAGAGAGAGACAAAGAGAGAGACTGAGAGAGAGAGACAGAGAGAGAGGGAGAGAGACAGAGAGAGAGAGACAGAGAGACAAAGAGAGAGAGAGGGAGAGAGGGAGAGAGACAGAGAGAGAGAGAGACACAGAGAAAGAGAGAGAGCTCCTTTATCTTCTTTAGCTCCTTTATCTTCTTTATCTTCTTTATCTCCTTTATCTTCTTTATCTCCTTTGTCTTCTTTATCTTCTTTATCTCCTTTATCTTCTTTATCTCCTTTGTCTTCTTTATCTCCTTTGTCTTCTTTATCTCCTTTATCTTCTTTATCTTCTTTAGCTCCTTTATCTTCTTTATCTTCTTTAGCTCCTTTATCTTCTTTATCTCCTTTATCTTCTTTATCTCCTTTGTCTCCTTTATCTCCTTTATCTCCTTTGTCTCCTTTATCTTCTTTATCTTCTTTATCTCCTTTGTCTTCTTTATCTCCTTTATCTTCTTTATCTTCTTTAGCTCCTTTATCTTCTTTATCTTCTTTAGCTCCTTTATCTTCTTTATCTTCTTTATCTCCTTTATCTTCTTTATCTCCTTTGTCTCCTTTATCTTCTTTATCTTCTTTAGCTCCTTTATCTTCTTTATCTTCTTTAGCTCCTTTATCTTCTTTATCTTCTTTATCTCCTTTATCTTCTTTATCTCCTTTATCTTCTTTAGCTCCTTTATCTTCTTTATCTTCTTTAGCTCCTTTATCTTCTTTATCTTCTTTATCTCCTTTATCTTCTTTATCTCCTTTAGCTCCTTTATCTTCTTTATCTTCTTTAGCTCCTTTAGCTCCTTTATCTTCTTTATCTTCTTTAGCTTCTTTATCTCCTTTATCTTCTTTAGCTCCTTTATCTTCTTTATCTCCTTTAGCTCCTTTAGCTCCTTTATCTTCTTTATCTTCTTTAGCTTCTTTATCTCCTTTATCTTCTTTAGCTCCTTTATCTTCTTTATCTTCTTTAGCTTCTTTATCTCCTTTATCTTCTTTATCTCCTTTATCTTCTTCAGCTTCTTTATCTCCTTTATCTTCTTTATCTCCTTTATCTTCTTTAGCTCCTTTATCTTCTTTATCTCCTTTATCTCCTTTAGCTCCTTTATCTTCTTTATCTCCTTTATCTTCTTTATCTCCTTTATCTTCTTTAGCTCCTTTATCTTCTTTATCTTCTTTATCTTCTTTATCTTCTTTAGCTCCTTTATCTTCTTTAGCTCCTTTATCTTCTTTATCTCCTTTATCTCCTTTAGCTTCTTTATCTCCTTTATCTTCTTTAGCTCCTTTATCTTCTTTAGCTCCTTTATCTTCTTTATCTTCTTTATCTTCTTTAGCTCCTTTAGCTCCTTTATCTTCTTTATCTTCTTTATCTTCTTTATCTTCTTTATCTTCTTTAGCTCCTTTATCTTCTTTAGCTCCTTTATCTTCTTTATCTTCTTTATCTTCTTTATCTTCTTTAGCTCCTTTAGCTCCTTTATCTTCTTTATCTTCTTTATCTTCTTTAGCTCCTTTAGCTCCTTTATCTTCTTTATCTTCTTTATCTTCTTTATCTTCTTTATCTTCTTTATCTTCTTTATCTTCTTAGCTCCGATAACCGCTAAGTCAAGCTAATTCCCCGTCGCTGCATAAAGAACTCAGTATTCGACTGGATGATATCTGGAAGGTGACGGGGTTCTGTTTTGTCTCCTGCAGACGATCTTTTGGTTTTCACAGTGATAAAGATGCAATGCTTAGACTGCCGTCGGATGGGGCCCCCTCAAGGAGGTTTCCTACTGTCGTTGCAAAATAAGCACATTTTGGTCCGCTGCTTTGGTTTACAGTTTGTCATCCCTCAGGGGCCCCCCTTCTGGTCTGGGGCCCGAGCAGCGCCTCTGCACATCAGCGTCTCGTTGTCATGTGTATCAGGGATCTGAAAAGAGACTGTGGTTAACGTGAGACGCTTCTACAGAGAGAAACACACTAACCAGAGGACGCCGTCTCTTTAAAAGGAAACATCTTTGTTCCTCTTTCAACGTTTACAAGCAGCTGTTCTCCTGATGTTACCATCACTGTGTGTGTGTGTGTGTGTGTGTGTGTGTAACTGTGTGTGTGTGTGTGTAACTGTGTGTGTGTGTGTGTGTGTGTGACTGTGTGTGTGTGTGTGTGTGTGTGACTGTGTGTGTGTGTGTGTGTGTGTGTGTGTGTGTGTGTGTGTGTGTGTGTGTGTGTGTGTGTGTGTGTGTAACTGTGTGTGTGTGTGTGTGACTGTGTGTGTGTGTGTGTGTGTGTGTGTGTGTGTGTGTAACTGTGTGTGTGTGTGTGTGTGTGTGTGTGTGTGTGTGTGTGTGTGTGTAACTGTGTGTGTGTGTGTGTGTGTGTGTGTGACTGTGTGTGTGTGTGTGTGTGTGTGTGTGTGTGTGTAACTGTGTGTGTGTGTGTGTGTGTGTGTGTGTGTGTGTGTGTGTGTGTGTGTGTGTGTGTAACTGTGTGTGTGTGTGTGTGTGACTGTGTGTGTGTGTGTGTGTGTGTGTGTGTGTGTGTGTAACTGTGTGTGTGTGTGTGTGTGTGTGTGACTGTGTGTGTGTGTGTGTGTGACTGTGTGTGTGTGTGTGTGTGTGTGTGTGTGTGTGTGTGTGTGTGTGTGTGTGTGTGTGTGACTGTGTGTCTGTGTGTGTGTGTGTGTGTGTGTGACTGTGTGTGTGTGTGTGTGTGTGTGTGTGTGACTGTGTGTGACACTGTGTGTGTGTGTGTGATTGTGTCTGTGTGTACTGTGTGTGTGTGTGTGTGTGTGTGTGTATGTCTGTGTGTAAGTGTGTGTGTGACTGTGTGTGTGTGTGTGTGACTGTGTGTGACTGTGTGTGACTGTGTGTGTGTGTGTGTGTGTGTGTGTGTGTGTGTGACACTGTGTGTCTGTGTGTGTGTGTGTGTCTGTGTGTAACTGTGTGTGTGTGTGTGTGTGTGTAAGTGTGAGTAACTAATATAGTCACTAGTCTCATCCGATTGGACGTCAGTTTGATTGACAGCTGTTCGGATCTTAACAATGAGAGTGATGACATCACAACTTGTTAAATTATTGATCTGAGGAGAGTCAATGAAAAATGAGATCAGAGTGCTGACAGCCAATCAGAGCGCAGCAGAGAAAACAAAGAACCTGAACCAGAGAACAAACACACAGGAAGTGTTTTGATTCTTTATTTATTTATGTAAGGTTTATTTAAGCAGATCATTCAGCCAATGAGCACGCATCATGATCAACACCATTCAGAATCAGTTTACAAAATAAAAGTTCACATCTATCAGCTTTATTTCTACTCTGTGATCAGTCTGAAGAAACCGACCTTTATTTTGAAAACAAAAATCAAAGCAGGAAAATAAATCATATCTTTGATTCTGACCTCTCGTCCAATCAGAAACAGTTTCATCACAGGGACTGAGCATTTCAAAGGTTTGATGCTGAAGCAACAATCAGGTCGTTTTATTTTGAAATGATCGATCTGAATCATCAAAGAGACTCGAGCTGTAGATACGTGTCCCCGATGTGACTGCTGAAAAACTGACACGAGCGAAACTGTTGTGGCGGGGACTTCCTGTCAGATAGGAAACAAAGGCTGTAGAGATGATCTTCACTCTGATTGGTTCTCTCTCTCTCTTCAGACATCATGCATGAGCTGTTGGAGACCGAGACCGCCCCCGTCCTGACCAACACGACTTCCATTTCGTGTCAGAAGCCGTTCGACGATGGCCGCCTGCCGCTCATGCTGCTGTACAGCGGCGTGCTGGCGGTGGGACTTCCTGCTAACTTCCTGACCCTCTACCTCACCTGGCTGCAGGTGCGCAGGAGCAACGTGCTGGGCGTGTACCTGTGGAGCCTGTCACTGTGCGACCTCACCTACCTGTGCACGCTGCCGCTGTGGACGCTGTACGTGAGCGCGGGTCACGTGTGGCCGTGGAGCTCGGTGGCGTGTAAGCTAACGGGCTACATCTTCTTCACCAACATGTACATCAGCATCTTCCTGCTCTGCTGCGTCTCCTGCGACCGCTACGTCGCCGTCGTCTACAGCGTGGAGTCCCGCGGCCTGCGATGCCGACGCCACGCCTTCCTCATCGTCGTCACCATGGTGCTGCTGGTTGCCGTCGGCCACGTGCCCGTCTTCACCATGAGGGAGGGGGAAGCCACGCAGGGCCAACGCCGCTGCTTCGAGCCGAGTCAGAGCAGCGCCACGGTGACGGGCTTCAACTACGCTCGCTTCGTGGTCGGGTTCCTGATCCCGCTGCTCGTGCTGGTGGCGACCAACCGCGGGATCCTGGTGAACGTGCAGAGCAGCACGGGGCTGCGGCGCGAGCAGAAGGAGCGCGTGCGCTGGCTGGCGATGGCGGTGGTGTTCCTCTTCCTGGTCTGCTTCGCCCCGTATCACCTGATCCTGCTGGTGCGCGCCATCCTCTTCCACTTCCCGCGCCTGGAGGACGGCACCTGTCTGTTCGAGACCACCGTGTACACGCCGTACACCATCTCGCTCGGCCTGTCCACCGTCAACAGCGCCGTCAACCCCATCCTCTACGTCCTGTCCAGCGACAACATCCGCAAAGAGCTGCGCCGCGGCCTCGCTGGCCTCTGTGACCGCGCCCACCTGAGGACGCGATCCGACAGCAGCCAGAACAAGATCCAGCCCACCAGGAACTCCTCGGAGCTGAACCCGGGAACCAAGATGGATGGACCCCCGGGACCAGCAGAGACCTGCAGACAGGCTGGACTGGACTCTGAGGTGTTAGTTCCACCGGTCTAACCAGCGGGGGAGGGCGGTGTGTCCTGAAGGGGGCGCCGCAGGTATCAGGACTCCACTGAGGAGCTCCGATCAACAAACAGACAAAATCAATAGATAACAGAGTTTCAGATAAAAACTGATGAGCTGACAGTTTTTAACCTTTAATAAATAAGTGACGACCTCACACGAGACACGGCGCCCCCTGCTGGTCAGACGTGAACTTTACAGATTTTAAAAATCCTGTTTCTGTAAATAAAGTAAAATAAAGTTCATACAAAACAGCTGCTGTCACAATATATCCCACAATCCTTTGCTCCTCTGCTTACTGTTACACCCCCCAACACACACACACACATCTCGGCTGTTTCCATGGTAACTGCATCATGACATGTTGGATTTTTTAATCTGAAAACTTTTATGAAGATTAAAAACAAGAGCAAATAAAGCCGTAAAAAACAAAGCGATCTGATTGGACGAGAGGCGGGTGTGTTATTTCTGAAGAAGTAAAAACACACAAGGTGGTTACTGGTTAACTTCAGACATCAATTTAAGTACAAAGGTAGGCGTCTGTGGTAACCATGGAAACAGCAACTGTTCCACCGCAGGTCGAGCTGGTGGAATCAAACGTCAGCGTTTTGTTCAAACTTACTCATTTTTACAGTCTATGGTTCAAACATGGAGAGTAAACACGAAGCCTCGTATCAAGAAGTGTGTCACTCACTTCCTGTCTGAGCTGCTTCCTGTTTGCTGCTCCATGACTCGTGACTCGTGTTTCCATGATAACAAAGTGGCAGACAGCTGGGAGGGTGTGAGACAGTCTCACTGCACACCCACACGGACCAATGATCAGCCTGACATCAGACAGAATGACATGTAGGACATGGTGGTTGCCATGGTAACAGCAGGTGTTTCAATAATTTATCAGTGAAATCTAAAATCTGGTACCTTCACAATAAAAGCCTCAGAATCAGTGCACTGTTCGCTTTGTCACCTATTTTAAATTCAGTCACATTTTTTTTTTTAACCCTTTATCGTTTTAGTCGACGAAAACTACAAACATGGCCACCCAGTTTTTTTTTTTTTTTAATAAAAAGTCCCAAACTGTCTCAGCTCCTCACAGAAATCAAAGAGGAGACATGTTTTTAAAAACGTGAAGAACTGCAGATCACATATGAATGCATGAATATGAATTATGTTACCATGGATACTCTGAGTGTTTCATGACTCCACCTGTCAGACGTTTAAAGACAGAAGAGATTCACTGATATGACTTTACAGATCAGTCACTCACTGATTGGTCAGGTTATCAGAAGATCTACTTTTAGCTTGCCACCGTCACGTTGTTGTTGACTGTTTTTCATGAACAAACACTGAATCATTTCGACTTAACGGCAACTTGTAAAATAATCAGGTGACTTTCTAGAATTTCATAGTCAAATACATTTTTCAGAACTTTTCTCAATAAAAGATAAAACTTTCAAAAACGAGTCCAGTTTGTCTTCTTTATCAGACCCTGTGTACACCTCGCCTTAATTCTGAGCCCCCAGCACCTTTTCTGTGCAGCCGCTTCGAGCGCTCAAGATGACGTCCCCGGCGCTCTTTTCCTAATGTTTGACATTCCCTGTAGTTTCGCCTCCTACAGATCGTGTCTTGTACCCTCATCCTCCTCGCTCCGTGTCTGATCGGGGAAATAAGCGATCTCAAATATAAAACAGTAAAAAGTAACGGAGCAGTGTCGGTCATACAGTGGGCGTTGTCAACAGACTGTTGTCATGGAGACAGGACAGACGTGAAGCACAAGAAATGCTAGATGAACACGGGGCCTAATTGATTTTTAATGATTATGTTACTGTAACGCTGCTATTTATACTCAAAGTAACACTTTTTTGTAATCATTCTGATAACGTTTAGAGCTCTCTGAGTTCAGGTGTGCAGCCCCTGGTGGGCATCACAGGTACTGCACTGGTCCTTTCTCTCTGGGACCTTGAGTCAGACTCTGGTCTTTTATCGGGCGGAGTTCCACGGGGTGCTGTCTTTGGACCCCTTTTTCTTCTCTATAAACCCGACGACACCAGGACGGATTATTGAGTTCTTAACATCTCTACGCAGACGACATCGAGCTGTTTGTTTTAAACCCTCAGATCAGGTTCAATCTACCCCCCTAAGCCTCGGCCTAGTTTGTGAAATCTTTGCGTCACTGTTGACCAACTCAAGAGTTTGATGTTCACGTTTATCTCACCTGACAAAGTAATCCAATCAGAGGTCTTTGGGTTCATCAGGAACGGATCTTCTAACTTCACCTCAGGTTCTGATATGGATTAAAAACACGCCTGTTTTTCCTCCTCACATGAAGACCCCACGCTGAGAGATACTTCAAAAACACAACTTGTTTTGATTCTGATCCCCCAGTCACTGACCTGGTTCACTCCGAAATGCTCTCTGATTGGCTCCGCTGTCTCCCTGCTCTCATCCACATCATCTGATTGGCTGCCTCTCAGTATGTAAACAGGCAGACAGGCCACGCCCCCTCATTAATTATTCGTTAACCTGCCAGACACCACTGAGGGTAAAATTCATTATTAATGAGCGCCTGATGGCTGACCTGGCTCTGAATTAAACATGAAAAAAACAGCAGTCTGGTGAGCGCGCTCTCAAACACCCTCTGACCTCACTGACGATGTCACACCCCCCCTCCCCCCTTATCCCAAAATCACAATTTGATGTTTGTTTATAAAGCTATAAAAAAACATTAAATACAATCACATCAGAGGAAAATAAGATAAACCAGGTGTTCCTCACCTATATCCAGATTTCTCCTCCCATTTACAGATGTTACCTAACCCGTCTCCAGGTGTTTACTCACCTGTCTCCAGCTGTGCTACCTAACCCGTCTCCAGCTGTGCTACCTAACCCATCTCCAGGTGTTTGCTCACCTGTCTCCAGGTGTTTACTCACCCGTCTCCAGCTGTGCTACCTAACCCATCTCCAGGTGTTTGCTCACCTGTCTCCAGGTGTGCTACCTTTGACACGGACACACTCAAGTTCTCTTCAGAGTCTTTTATTGATTTCTGTTCAGCTGCTAACATATTTCATAATTACAAAGATTCTTTAACTGGTGATTCTGGAAGAAACAAAGCAGTAGTGTTCAGGTGTGCACCCCACCCCCCCCCCCCCCTCACCTGGGCAGGGTCATGGGATAAAACAGGAAATATCATCACTGACACAAAATCAAAGATTTTTTTTCTCCTACAACAACAACAACAACAACGATGATGATGATGATGTGCAACTTTAAGAAAACTTTAAAATAATTCATACAGTGTTTTTCCATCAGAGTGAGACCTCCTGTCTGTCAGGAAGGTAGCCACAGTTAGCTTAGCAGCTAACAGCACGCTAAAGCTTAACAGAGTCAGTTAAAAAGAAGGAGGAGTTGATTGGTCCCTTAGCCAATCAGACTTAAGTCAAACACACAGCAGCCATCAGCAGGGGTGGGGTTTAAACCAGGGGGCGTGGCTTCCCAGCAGGTAAAATCCAACAAATATAAAAGCAGCAGGAAGCACAAACTCACCCGCAACAATAAAATTATCAAGTAAAATCTAAACTCTCAGTCTGCAGCCTGATTGGTTATTTAAGCCCCTCCTCCTTGCTTAGCTGTATACAGGGCGGAGCCTCTTAAATGGGGGTGGGGCATCAGGGGTCCATTTCCAGACCGTCGAGGGTGAGTTGACTGCGATGGGGGGAGTTTGGACTGGGGGGGCTGCTGGGGTTAGAACTGTTGGAGGGGGTTGAGTGTTTGGTCGAGTCCGAGTCCGGCTGGGCGAGAGACATCAACACAAAGAGAGAGAGAGAGTTACAGGTTGTTTTTGTCATCTTCAGATATTAAATAAAGGTTTTTAAAGTGAAGTTAATACAACAACAAACACATCATCGTGTGTGTGTGTGTGTGTGTGTGTGTGTGTGTGTGTGTGTGTGTGTGTGTGTGTGTGTGTGTGTGTGTTTTACCTCTCGGTCCAGGTCCTGGTCTGGATCAGAAATACTGCGAGAAGAAGCTCCTCCTCCAAAATCTGAACCAATGAGAACAGATTAGGCATGAAATCACACATTGACACAAGCTGCCACGCTTTACAAAGAAACACACAAACCTGTTAAATATGTGTGTGTGTGCGTACCTGAGGCTGTTCGAGTGATGTGTGACTTGCTTCTCTGTTGCCGGGAGATACTGGACAGTGGGCGGGGCTTGTCTTTGATGGAGTCCTCCTGGGAGGAATGCATCACACTCTATACACACACACACACACACACACACACACACACACACACACACACACACACACACACACACACACACACACACACACACACACACACACACACACACACACACACACACACACACACACACACACACACACACACACACACACACACACACACACACACACACACACACACACACACACACACACACACACACACAGAAGAGTGGAGGAGTGAATGGTGTGGGTTTGGCACCCCCCAGTGGTCATGTTCAGCACCTGCTCTCAGTGTTTCTGTGAGACAAACTCAACATGTTCACACAAACATTAAAGGACTTTAATAACACATAACGTCGAACTACAGCTCCCAGAAGACTTTCACAGAGCTTCATAGGCAAGGACTCATGGGAAATGTAGTGGAACTGTGTCACACAGAAGGTGGGACTTCAGAGAACAGGTAAAGTTCAGCACATTGAAAAGAAGACAGAGGAAGAGAAAGAGAGGTGAAGAAATGAAGCTGTTTTTTTTACCTGAACTCCAGCTTAGTCTTAAAACACCTTAACATGAACACCTTGGATTGATTTAAAGTTGTGTAATATATCTACAGGTGTGTTGTATATCTACAGGTGTATCTACAGGTGTGTTGTATGTCTACAGGTGTGTTATATAGCTACAGGTGTATCTACAGGTATGTAATATATCTACAGGTGTGTTGTATATCTACAGGTGTATCTACAGGTGTGTAATATGTCTACAGGTGTGTTGTATATCTACAGGTGTGTTGTATATCTACAGGTGTGTAATATGTCTACAGGTGTGTTGTATATCTACAGGTGTATCTACAGGTGTGTAATATGTCTACAGGTGTGTTGTATATCTACAGGTGTGTTGTATATCTACAGGTGTGTAATATGTCTACAGGTGTGTTGTATATCTACAGGTGTGTTGTATATCTACAGGTGTGTTGTATATCTACAGGTGTGTAATATGTCTACAGGTGTGTTGTATATCTACAGGTGTGTTGTATATCTACAGGTGTGTTGTATATCTACAGGTGTGTTGTATATCTACAGGTGTGTAATATGTCTACAGGTGTGTTGTATATCTACAGGTGTGTTGTATATCTACAGGTGTGTTGTATATCTACAGGTGTGTTGTATATCTACAGGTGTGTTGTATATCTACAGGTGTGTTGTATATCTACAGGTGTGTTGCGTGTCTAGGGCTCAGGTAACCACAGACAGGTGATCAGACAGGTGGGAGGGATGCAGGGGATCTGGGTCAGTGAGGGAGCAGGTGGGGGAGATAGAGAGAAGCTGGCCTACCCTTCCCAGAGAGGAGGTGGAGGGAGAGGAGGAGGAGGAGGAAGGCTGCAGGAGGCTCTGCTGGGAGGAGGAAGAGGAGGCGTCTTTCTGCAAGAAGGCGCCGGCCGATGCCGAGGTCATGTGATAGACGTGCTCAAAGTTGGAAGGGGGAGAAATGAGGGTGTGACGGGAGGAAGAGGAGGAGGGGGAGGGAGAGGGGGTGGGGGTGAAGGCGGTGACATCACCAACCTGAACATCAGGGAGGAGGAGGAGGAGGGGTGAGGAAGGTGAAACAGGGGAGGGAGGAGAAGAGAGGAGGAGTCAGTGTGATGAACCGAGCAGTTTGGGGGGAGGATGGGAAAGGAGGTGGGGGGAGAACATGCCGGGGGAGAACATGCAGAGGAGGTGAAGTGAGGAGGAGTTACCAGAGGGAGGTCCATGAGGACCTGCATGCCGTCTCCTGGTCCCATGTGGGCCACGTGGTTAAAGTTTGTAGGATTAGAGATCATCTTAGACCTCAGCTCCGGATCCCTCAGCATCTCTCTGCACACAGGTCATTCATGACAGGTTAACAACACGGTAATAACACGCTACATATGCTACACTTCAACTACACGATCATAGCATGCTAACTTCATGTTAATAACATGATAATAACATGATAACTACGGTTAATAACATGGCAATAACATGTTAGCTACATATGCTACACTTCAACTACACGATCATAGCATGCTAACTTCATGTTAATAACATGATAATAACATGATAACTACGGTTAATAACATGGCAATAACATGTTAGCTACATATGCTACACTTCAACTACACGATCATAGCATGCTAACTTCATGTTAATAACATGATAATAACATGATAACTACAGTTTAATAACATGGCAATAACACGTTAGCTACATATGCTACACTTCAACTATTTTCAATTCAATTCAATTTATTTTGTATAGCGTCAACTCATAACAAGTGTTATCTCAAGACACTTTACAAAAAGCAGGTAAAAGACCTTACTCATTGTTATGTTACATAAAGCAGGTAAAAGACCTTACTCATTGTTATGTTACAAAAAGCAGGTAAAAGACCTTACTCATTGTTATGTTACATAAAGCAGGTAAAAGACCTTACTCATTGTTATGTTACATAAAGCAGGTAAAAGACCTTACTCATTGTTATGTTACATAAAGCAGGTAAAAGACCTTACTCATTGTTATGTTACAAAAAGCAGGTAAAAGACCTTACTCATTGTTATGTTACATAAAGCAGGTAAAAGACCTTACTCATTGTTATGTTACAAAAAGCAGGTAAAAGACCTTACTCATTGTTATGTTACAAAAAGCAGGTAAAAGACCTTACTCATTGTTATGTTACATAAAGCAGGTAAAAGACCTCACTCATTGATATGTTACAAAAAGCAGGTAAAAGACCTTACTCATTGATATGTTACAAAAAGCAGGTAAAAGACCTTACTCATTGTTATGTTACAAAAAGCAGGTAAAAGACCTTACTCATTGTTATGTTACAAAAAGCAGGTAAAAGACCTTACTCATTGTTATGTTACAAAAAGCAGGTAAAAGACCTTACTCATTGTTATGTTACAAAAAGCAGGTAAAAGACCTTACTCATTGTTATGTTACATAAAGCAGGTAAAAGACCTTACTCTTTGTTATGTTACAAAGATCCGGCCTATCCATCATGAGCACTTTAGCAAAGCAGCAAAAGTTACAGTGGTAAGAAAAAACTTTCTTATTAAAAGGCAGAAATCTTTGCATGAAACTACACAATCATAGCATGCTAACTATGCATGTTAACGTCATGTTAATAACATGGTAATGACACGTTAGCTACAAATGACATACGTGTTAACACTAAAAACAACATGATACCTTCATGTTAATAACATGCTAATAACATGTTAGCTACATATGAAATACGTGTTAATAACACTTAAAACTACATGCTAATAACATGCTAACTACATGTTAACAAGCCCCCAAAAAACATTGTACATTTTAATAACATGCTAACACATTTACTACAGGTAATATATTTAATTTGATGTTAGCAACACGTTAACTAAATACTATGTGACATGTTAAGGACATTATATACACAATTACACTTTGACAAATGAACAACACGTTTTATTCATAAAAATCACCTCCTCTGCTGAATCCGCTCCTCCTCAGGAACCTTAAAGAGGAACTTCCGTTTGCTGCGAGTTCGAACCATCAACTTCCTGCTGTGGTCTGACGTGTCAGGGATGGTGAGGTCTCCCTCTGAGGACAGACAGGTAGAGACAGAGACGGGTAGACAGACAGGTAGAGACAGAGACGGGTAGAGACAGAGACGGGTAGAGACAGAGACGGGTAGACAGACAGGTAGAAACAGAGACGGGTAGACAGACAGGTAGAGACAGAGACGGGTAGACAGACAGGTAGACAGACAGGTAGAGACAGAGACGGGTAGACAGACAGGTAGAGACAGAGACAGATAAAGATAGAGACGGGTAGAGACAGAGACAGATAGAGACAGAGACGGGTAGAGACAGAGACAGATAGAGACAGAGACGGGTAGACAGACAGGTAGAGACAGAGACGGGTAGACAGACAGGTAGAGACAGAGACGGGTAGACAGACAGGTAGAGACAGAGACGGGTAGACAGACAGGTAGAGACAGACAGGTTGAGAGAAAGAGAAAGACAGGTTAGATTAGGGGTGGCAGAGAGTAAAGGTAGTGTTACAGTGTACAGGTGAATGTGCTTGGGTCAGGAGTGATTGGAAGTAACTGTGATTGGTGTGATTGTGTCCAGATGTGATTGTGTCCAGGTGTGATTTACCTGATGAGCTGTTGCTGAAGTAAATCAGACGAGGAGGTTCTGAACTCAGCAGGTTTAACGTCCCCTCAACGTTCAGAGGTCTGATCTGAGGACAGAGACACATTCAGCTCATTCTTAACTCTCATTGGCTGTTTGCTGAGCTGTGATTGGAAGGTTCGGAGTAGTACTGAGCTGTGATTGGTTACCTTGCGGAGGGAGATGGTTTGGACCCACTCTGTGGTGTGAATGTCGAAGACATCGACTCCATACTCGCTGTAGACCGTCAGGTGGGAGGAGTTAGAGCCTGGAGAGAGACAGGTGTTTATCTATTACCTGTCAGAATTCATCACTTCCTTTATGACATCATTATCGTCAGCCAATCACAAACTGAAGCTGATTGGCAACCAGGTGCAACTATTTAAATCAAGAACTACACCTGCTGCTTGAAGGACCTGTGTGAAGTCACATGAGAACCAGCTACACCTATCTGCAATGGCTGTCCTAACTTACCTGAGACCCAGATACAGCTGTCCTAACTTACCTGAGACCCAGATACACCTGTCTGAAGTCACCTGAGAACCAGCTACACCTGTCTGAAGTCACCTAAGACCCAGCTACACCTGTCTGAAGTCACCTGAGAACCAGCTACACCTGTCTGAAGTCACCTGAGAACCAGCTACACCTGTCTGAAGTCACCTGAGAACCAGCTACACCTATCTGAAGTCACCTGAGACCCAGATGCACCTATCTGCAACACCTGTCCTAACTTACCTGAGACCCAGATACACCTGTCTGAAGTCACCTGAGACCCAGCTACACCTGTCTGAAGTCACCTGAGACCCAGATTCACCTGAGACGTCACCTGAGACCTAGATACACCTGTCTGAAGTCACCTGAGACCCAGATTCACCTGAGACGTCACCTGAGACCCAGATAAACCTGTCCGAACTTACCTGAGACCCAGATAAACCTGTCCGAACTTACCTGAGACCCAGATTCACCTGAGACGTCACCTGAGACCCAGATACACCTATCTGCTACACCTGTCCTAACTTACCTGAGACCTAGATACACCTGTCTGAAGTCACCTGAGACCCAGATAAACCTGTCTGAAGTCACCTGAGACCAGATACACCTGTCTGAAGTCACCTGAGACCCAGATACACCTGTCTGAAGTCACCTGAGACCCAGCTACACCTGTCTGAAGTCACCTGAGACCCAGCTACACCTGTCTGAAGTCACCTGAGACCCATATACACCTTTCTGAAGTCACCTGAGACACAGCTACACCTGTCTAAAGTCACCTGAGACGTCACCTGAGACCCAGCTACACCTGTCTAAAGTCACCTGAGATGTCACCTGAGACCCAGCTACACCTGTCTGAAGTCACCTGAGACCCAGCTACACCTGTCCTAACTTACCTGAGACCTAGATACACCTGACTGAAGTCACCTGAGACCTAGATACACCTGTCTGAAGTCACCTGAGACCCAGATTCACCTGTCTGAAGTCACTTGAGACCCAGATACACCTGTCTGAAGTCACCTGAGATGTCACCTGAGACCCAGCTACACCTGTCTGAAGTCACCTGAGACCCAGCTACACCTGTCCTAACTTACCTGAGACCTAGATACACCTGACTGAAGTCACCTGAGACCTAGATACACCTGTCTGAAGTCACCTGAGACCCAGATACACCTGTCTGAAGTCACTTGAGACCCAGATACACCTGTCTGAAGTCACCTGAGACCCAGATACACCTGTCTGAAGTCACCTGAGACCCAGATACACCTGTCTGAAGTCACCTGAGACCCAGATACACCTGTCTAAAGTCACCTGAGACCCAGATACACCTGTCTGAAGTCACCTGAGACCCAGATTCACCTGAGACGTCACCTGAGACCCAGATACACCTGTCTGAAGTCACCTGAGACCCAGATACACCTGTCTGAAGTCACCTGAGACCCAGATACACCTATCTGCTACACCTTATACAGTTAAACTACTGTTCTGCATGTACTACAGGTAATAGTATGAACGTACTGCATGCGAGGGGCGTGGCCGGCCACATCAGCTCGTGCGTTCTGGAGCGGCGTCCCTGTCCGTCCACATAGATGCCGAGTTGGCTAAAGCAGAGCAGCAGCTCAGTCGATCCCACCTCGAGGGCGTGCAGGGCGTCAAGAGGCTGCTGGGACAGGAAGGCCAGGGATGGGTCCCCCGGACTCACCAGGCTGACGGGGGAAGACTCCCCCTGCAGGGCGAGCAGAGCGAAGCCCGAAGGATAACCGACACAGAGCCGCTCCCTCACCATACCCAACCACTGCACCACACCTGGAGCCTGCACCTCCCACAGCTTCTTATAGTGGGGCTTCACTCGCGTGATCTCGTAACACTGAACCTGCAGGGACCAGAGCCTATTAGAACACCAACAGAACCACCCCACAGTGAGGGGGAGGGGCTACAATGTAAGGTGTCCAGGTGTCTGACCTGACGTTTGACGGAGGCCAGCAGGCAGGCGGGGCCTCCAGGCCGGAGCACCCCCGTGGTTAGAGCCTGGCAGCCTTTGGTCTCTGTCAGTTTGATGTCAAAGGAGGACTCTGCTCCCTCCAGCGCCCCCCAGGCGTGGAGGTGAACGTGGCGGTTCCTGCCACAGAGCAGAGCGATGATCTTCTCCTTCGGGATCAAGTCGATCTGATAAACCTTCTTACTGTCTGCTGCTCTCACGATCACTGGAGAGAGAGACGGGTCATTAAAAATCTTTCTGTGTGTGTCAGTCCATGTATACAAGCGTCTGATTGGGTCTCACCATCTCTGGTGACCTCCACCACAAACAGTCCGTCTTCTGTTCCCAGAACGATCCTCTCTCGATCTGCAGACAAAGTTTGAGAATAATTAAATGGAAGTAGAGTCAGTACGACCCGGTACAGTGTGTAGTAACTAGAAGTGTTTAGCAGCAGTTATTACTGACTAACACTGTTAATAACATGCTAATAACACGTTAGCTACATATGACATATGTGTTAATAACACTTCAAATACACGATCATAACATGCTAACTACATGTTAATAACATGTAATAACACATAAGCATGTTATGATCGTGTAGTGCAAGTGTAGCATATGTAACTAACTGGAATAACACCTTAGCTACATGTTAATAACATGTAATAACACGTTAGCTACATATCACAGGTATTAACACTTAAAACTACATAATCATAACATTATAACTACATGTTAATAACATGCTAACTACATGTTGACCAGGTACAGTGTAGTAACTAGAAGTGTTTAGCAGCAGTTGTTACTGACCGAGCACGGCGGCGGACAGTGTGGTCTTGATGATGGGCAGCGAGGCGTCGTAGGCCTCGTTCAGGACGTGCACCTGTCGGTTCCTGAGCAGGTTCTTGGTCAGGATGTTCTGCAGACCCTCCAGGATCCTGACCCACTTCCTCTTCTCCTCCTCGCTTTCCGCCAGCACCAGCAGAGACACGGCGGACAGCTGAGAGACCAGCTGAGCAGACGTCACCTGATAACATCAAAACAAGGAGGTCAAAGGTCAGAGTGTGTGTGTCTGTCTGTGTGAGTGTATGTAAGTGTGTGAGGGGGGGTAGGCAGGATTTCCTACCCTGAAGATGCAGGGGACGTCCTTCCTGGTGGCGTGGATGACATCAGACGCCAACACAGAGCTAACGGAGAACTCCTCGTCTCTAGAAAATCAGTTTGCCATATAAGGTCAAAAAGGAAGTGACTCAATATACACAAAAATATTCAGTATAAATCTCGTCAAATTTACTACCCTGAGCTTAATACCCCAAACATCTTCCAACCAAACCCCTTTCCTGAGACATCCATAGATTAACTTCCTGAAGCTCTCCTGTGAGCGGGCACACATGTAGACTGTTACCTGAGATCCAGGACCAGACTGGCCACCACACCTGGCTGGGTGGACTTTCCCTCCAGTACATCGTAGAGGAACAGTTTACAATCAGAGACCACGGCGTACGCTCGCTGCCAGCCCTTCTTCACGCCACTCGGCTTTGGGATCTGATAGACAGAGCAACGTGCTGTAAGACTGCAGAGCGACTACTGCATCACATTACAGCATCCAAGTACTTCACTCACCCTGACGTAGCCCTTGTAGGCGGTGCCGATGCCTCTCTGGACATCGATGCCCTGCGGCCTCTTGGCATGCTCGGCCGGGATTGGACAGACCAGGGGGGCGTGGTCTTTGCAGGACACATGGCAGATAAAGGAACACACTAAAGAGAGAGAAACAGGTGAACGAGGGAGTCCCACCTCATTGAGCAACTTCAATCAGCAACGTTCCCCTTTACACTGGCCTATCAGCACCTTTGAGCTCGGCAACAAGATTCCTTTATCTTAAAACCTTTACCTCCAAGCTAGCAGGCCAGCAACTTAACTGCAAAGCTAACTGGGAAGAAACTTTTACCTTTCAGCTTCCTGACTGGCAACTTTCCTTTCAAAGCCAGCTGTTCTACCCTTGATGTGTTTTATATGTTAGGACAAAGTTTCATTGTCATTTGAATAAAAGCTTATTGTTCCTTTATTTTGAAATCTGTGAAGAATCAGGAAGCAGGAAACAGGAAGTAAAAAGTGTGTAAACAGAAGGAGCATGGTGGTGTCTGTATGGGTTTCCATGTTGAACCAAAGTCCTCCTTGGTGTGAATCCTTCTGAAAGTAATGGCTGTAAGTCTAACTTGTTGTTTACATGTTTGATCGTCTATATTGATACATTTGATGTACATTTATTCTAAGTTTATAGGAGTTTAATGTAAATGTACTCTCTACTATTGTTCCAACTACTAAATGCATCTTGTATTTTTCTTTTCTAGTTTCACTCTGATTCATTGTCATCTCGTCTACTTTGAAGAAGTCATTAAAGGAGCAAACACGCTCACTTCCTGGTTCTTGAAAAGGAGTTTGGCTGTTTATTTATGTTAACACTTGTGAAGTACAACACACGTTATCCTATATTTCAGCCACAAAACTTTTAACCCTTAGCTAACCAACAAACACTTTAACATCTGAGCAACTTTGACCTTTAAGCTAGCTAATGAACATTTCTTTAACTGTATTTGTTTAAAGCTTGTTGACAACAGGAGTCCTGTCTACCTGGTCATAATCCTAATTCTGATTTTCTCCAGCCAATAAACAACATCATATTTAAATCTGCTTAATGTCTAACTTTGACTTTAGAGTTGCAGTGTTGGTACCTTCACAGGCGTATCCCTGGCGCATGAGGCCGACCATCAGGGAGGTGCAGTGGGTGCACTGGGTCGGGCTGGAGAATGTCTTGATGCTCAGCTGATGAGCTTTGGGCTGAAAACAAACAATATGTCTATCATTAAAAGATCAGGGCACCACGTCTCTGGTTGGACACCGAGGCGACCTGAGGGAGAGGCGTACCTTTGGTGTGCTGAGGGCGGAGCTCTGGTAAGGGGGGGAAGGGCTTGTTGGGACTGACGCTGCTTTGACTTCCTGTTGAAGCAACATGTTGATGCAGGTTAAGTAAACATGTATTATCTGCAGTAACATGACACACAGTAAATCTACCACGACTATGACTGACCTCGTGTTCAGAGGTGGTGGAGGGCGAGGGGGG